TTAGAATCTGTTCGAGCTAAGAGACGGCGTTATGAAGAACATCGAGCTCTTGTAGACTCAAATAAGCCGAAGGAGCTGATAAAGCTTCTCAGGAGAAGAGGATGATGCATAAATCACGTCAATTGAAATCTCTACCTCCACGTCAACGGACGATCCTTCTCAACGAGCATTTTCGTTCGCCCTTTAACTGCCGTACCAATGAGCAACACACCATACCGTCAAAACGGCTTACAGACGGCACTTTGTGGATAGTACACCTTCTCATAGCAGACATAAGGAAATCGCTTAGCGTCATGAAGCCGTCCCTTAACGGTGGTCCTGATGGCATTTTATCAGCATTACTGAAATACAGAGGTCTGGATATCCCTATTCTTCTGCAGAACATATTTCTCTTGTCAATGAAGGCCAGCACTGGAAACACGCTGATGTTGTACCAAGAGATAAAAATGCTCAAAACGGGGTTTTGCAAATTGTCGCCCGATTAGCCACACTTCGGTACTTCATAAAAATATGGAGAGGATTATAAAGGCTACGACTTCCCAGTTTCTAATATCAAGGAACCTAATCAGACTATCACAATATGGCTTTATTAAACAGCGTTCTTGTCAGTCTTGCCAACTAGACTTCTTAAACCAAATCACAGGCACAGTCGACGGTGGTAACGCGGATGGTAACGCATTGTTCTTGACATGTAAAAGGCCTTTGACCAAGTGCCCCATGGTAGGCTTTTGATCACTCTAGCAGGGTATGACATTGCTGACCTTCTACTTTCTTGGTTCTCCTTATACTTAACCGACAGAACCTAAGCAATAAGCAATCACATATGAGGTCACACCCCTGTGACAAGTGGCGTCATTCAAGGCAGCGTTCTAGGACTACTTCTCTTCTTGACGTATAGAAATGACATTTTTGAAGTCATTGGATATGGTAGGTCCTACAGGTTTGCAGACGACATAAAAGTTGTGTATACATTTGATCCCAGGAATCAAGAGTCCGTGTTTCGAAACATCCGAACTGACTTGAATCCACTCAAAGTATGGTGTTGTATTTCAAAAATGAATGTACCCGTTGAAACGTAATGCCATCCCATACAAATGTGATATGAATGTCCAACCGCTAACCTCTTTCGTTAAACCCCTAGTATATGGTAACCAAATAAGACTTAGGGCTTCACTACTCCAGCAGGCTGAACTTCTCCGAACATATACAATACAAGGTCGCTAAAGCCAAGCAAAAAATGTTTCCCAAACTCTTTACCTTAACAAATGCTAAACTTACATGGTAAAAGACTTGCACACGCCCAACCTTAGAGTACTGCTGTATGGTATACGGTAATACAAGACAGAGTGACACAGCGACACTAGAACGCGTTCAGCGTGCTTTTACAAGACAGATCCTGGGCTCTACTCAGAGGCTAACATACTCTGAACGCTGTAAATTGCTGATGTTGGAACCAATATGGCTGTGTGGAATAAAGCTAAACATATCGCTGCTTTTTGATGTCATTCATAGGCGCATTCATACACCTGGATACTCTCCCCAATTACAACATACTAAACGGTACCTTATCCGTAATAAAAATTGCACACTTACGATTGCAAAGTCGCGCACCAACATGCCGGCACACTTTTTTCTCATTAGATATGCATTGAGCTGGAATCGTCTCCCAATGTCCATTAGGTCATGCACATCTCCTCACATGTTTCGTGTACAGCTAGATAAATTTCTCACAGTCCCAAAAGCTATGAAACTTTTCAAGCTGAATATCGCTGAGACAGAGATTTATCTGAAGGGACCAAAGGGCATATAATGCATGTCCGTGATACCTCCCAGTGGTACACTTAAAAGCTTCATTGACATCACAGAAGGCAAAAAAGAAGGAAAATAGGCCAAATTCTCATGTCTAATCTTTTAAAATTTATCACGTTCTCTTCTTACCCGGCCACACCAACCTCAAGGCCTCCATATCAACATGGTAGCTAAAGATGGGCGTTAAACCGAGTCCTCTTCTTCATTCATCCGACCAATGTTACAAAACTTTCTTACTCGGCCACGCTGACCTCGAGGGTTTCATGCCCACATGGAAGTCGATGATGGAAAGTAAACCGAGTCCTCGTTTTCACTCCTTGGACCCAAGTTATATCCTCTCATTAACCGGCCATGCCTATCTCAAGGCCTCCAGGACTACATAGATGCCTATGAAGAAGGTCAACCGAGTACTCATCCTCTTCTACCAAATGACTATTACACTATTCCTTTCCAACTATTTTGCAAAGAGCGATGGTTTCTATTATTAACTATGTCAAAGATACGCATGCGCGCATATCAATGTACCATAAAAGATAGATCTGCTATGGACCTACCCAAACCAGTGTTTGAGTACCGCCTCGGCTACAGATCCCGAAATAGTGCCAGGCATATTTGTAATATTTAGGGATGCAAGCCTGCCCCATTGTAATGAAAGACACTCTCGAATGTGATGTCATTAGCTAACATGCATGCTTCCCCTACCTACGTTTAATCCCTGTTTGCTGATAAGCGCATTATTGATGACCAGTATCAGATTTTCTTCACACTTTAAATTTGTTGAAACTGATATAACTACAGTAGTCTTCTCTGCTTACAAATCGATTAACCTGTCCACCGTTCTATCTTTTCAACATATCCCTTCCTCCCAGCCTCGTCCAAATGCTGCGGTGAAATATTCCAATACGCCTGACTGTTTGGCGCTTGGATTGCGTTCTGCTACATAAGGAAACAATGAAGTTCAAGCCGCTCCCGACTACCGTATTATGATGGCTTACATTACGTGCCGAGCATATGAAAGCATTTGACTAACAAAAAAGCTACATTGCAATATCATCGCAACTTAAGAATTCACATGTTATTGACACGGTTCTTCTAAGGGATCTGACTGACCGTTCTTTATTCTGCGAGGATCATTCAATAAATAAGGTGAATTTTTCAGTATAAGGACTTCTAATACAGATAGAAGCCTACTTTTTGTTTATTTTTGTTGTTTTACTTCTTTTTCACATGGATGTAATTTCTTTTGCAGATTGTAGCGTGTAACAAAGATGGCCGACCAAGAAGCATGCTCCAGGATTGAACAGCGATCGGTTATCAAGTTTTTGGTTGCTGAAGAGTGCAAACCAGTTGAAATTCATAGGAGAATGTCAACTGTGTATGATGCCACATGTTTCAGCCGAAAAAATGTCTACAAGTGGGCAAAATTGTTTAGAGAAGGACGGAGCAGTGTTGAGGATGAAGACAGCCCTGGGAGGCCTACAGAAATGAGGTCTCCTGAGGTGATCAAATCAGTCAATGACCTCATTCAGTCGGACAGAAGGGTGACAGTGGATGACATTGCAAGGACTTTGAGCATATCTGTTGGGGCGGCACACAAAACTGTCCATGTCATCCACTGTCACCCTTCTGTCCAACTGAATGAAGTCATTGACTGATTTGATCACCTCAGGAGACCTCATTTCTGTAGGCCTCCCAGGGCTGTCTTCATCCTCAACACTTCTCCGTCCTTCTCTAAACAATTTTGCCCACTTGTAGACATTTTTCCGCTGAAACATGTGGCATCATACACAGTTGACATTCTCCTATGAATTTCAACTGGTTTGCACTCTTCAGCAACCAAAAACTTGATAACCGATCGCTGTTCAATCCTGGAGCATGCTTCTTGGTCGGCCATCTTTGTTACACGCTACAATCTGCAGAAGAAATTACATCCATGTGAAAAAGAAGTAAAACAACAAAAATAAACAAAAAGTAGGCTTCTATCTGTATTAGAAGTCCTTATACTGAAAAATTCACCTTATTTATTGAATGATCCTCGTATGTATCTGTAAGAACAACAAATTTACGAAACACTTGTACATTTCGACCGGGCCAACATATTGGTCCGTGTCCCGAGAAATAAACAAATTTAGTTAAAGTCCAACAATAAAGTTTATTCGAGTACATTCAAAGTAAACCCATTCACCAGTGAATGAGAGAGGCTTTGCTTTGTTAATCGGAAGTGACTTAGTTCAAATGCGCACCTATTCGGCTGGTAACGGGAAATGAAGTGGACGATAGGACGACTGCTACAGCTACACTTAGCTTTTGGTGTTGAGGTTTACGCAACCTCGTCGGTTGGGTTACGCGCTCGCTTTTTGACTCTGGGTCGCCGGTTCGAATGCGCGGTGTACCCAGCGCAAACCTGACCGGGGGTAGTCGCATGACAACGTAGCGTCGGTACGATGTGCTGGCGTACTACTGGTACCGCCTCACAACCTACTGAGTGCTCGATGCGAATCATGTGACATGGCAAGCAAATAACATGCATGGCTTGTTTACTATCGCCTAATAACCGGATTGCCGAGGTGTCTGTAGTGTGGAACTGAATATGATGCGAGGTGCAAAGGAAGTGGCGCAGCTGACCCTTTGATGACGACTTATCCTTGCACGGTATTCTCTGCTATTCGATTCGACCTAGCGTGCCTGCTCACGAAGTAAGTCTCTTTTCAATGCTCCCTTAATGACACAAATTGTGATCATTCAAAAAGGCAATCGAGGGGACATTTTGTCGAACAAATGGCTGCACGATTCAGAAAAGTGAAGCACATGTCAGTTGAAGCGGCAGGCCATTTCTAGCGTTGGACAGATTTGATGTATCGTGTTAGGTCATCGATCCGGGCAAACACGACATATCGAATCTGTGGCAAAGTACGAGTAGGTAACTGACAGACGATTCTTAATTGTAAATGCATGAGAAGATATGTCGGAAAAAAGTTCGCACAACCGTCATATTCGCATCATTCATTACTTGGGTTATATATCGTGACTTGCGGCTTCGGAACAATTACATCCACTGCCCAAACAAGAATACGGTGCACTGAAAAATAAATTGATGCGCTCGGACTTAACTGATCACAAATTCGTACAAGGGGGATCAGAACTAGTAAAGCATAGAGGGGATAGAAAAGCGTATGGTGATGTGTACTCACTTAACGGACTTGTGGATCTATCTATCATCGAACTCCAGTCACCACTACCGAACTCAGCCGCTATCAGAGCGTCATATGGAGACTCAGTAGCAGGAGAGGTGTGACGGCTAGCGGAAATGAAGACTGGGTCCAGATGCGGGCGATCAACCCAAGAATCCATGGGGGAGGAATGCTGAGCTTCATCCATGATCAATCCAAGCTGTTGTTCTTGTAACATACGTTGCTTCTCCAACCGATGAAGTCGCTTCAACTCTCGTTTGGCCTCACGTCGAGCACGACGCTCAGCTCGTTCGGCCTCCTTTGCTAGTCGTTTGGCCTCGCGCTTCGCAGCCTTTTTCATTGCCTTTTTCATCGCTTTCTTCTGCAGTTTCCGAGCTAACTTGGAATCTACATGCGGATCAGACTCAATGATACGATTGGAGTCCTGGGGAATGGTGGCTATGGAGAGACCTTCAGCACCATCCGACGCTGAAGCATCCATAGCTGCCACAGTAGCTGAAGAGTCATTGATCAATGTTTCACTCATATTGTCATATTCATCAGAAATATCGCGGATTTCTTCGCTACCATCACGCTTGGATGTGACGGAACTGAGCTCGCTGGATGTTTCACTTAAGGACTCACTGGCGTTCTTTCGTTTTAACTTGGTGTGGTTTCGCCAGAGATGGGACACTGCATTCTTTCCGTCATCTGAGTGACTATAAGCAGAGAACAGTGCAAGTGGAAGGCTGGTGAGAGGTTATATCATAAGCAGATATGCAAAAATAGTGCTATAAGGAAAAAAGAACGCTAGCTGGAAAATAAAAGCGAGTGTGCTGTCGCTGCATTGGAGCAAGGCTGATAAATGATGTTGATTTCCGGGATCGATGCAAAGCGGATTGAATAATTTACTATCTCAGTACAACTCAGTTTATCGAGTAGGAGCTGTGCACCGGATCCAGTTCTCGCCGGAATTTAGCCAAAGGAACGGGAATAATGATAATAAAAGTGGGTAAAAAAACTCGTCCGATGGAGCAATTAAGAGTCCGAATTGAAGAAAGGGACGTAGCTGCGATACGGACTCTGCGACCCTGACATATGTCTGTAGGAATATCCGGCCACTGACTCCGGTCGATTTGCAAGTCCAGGAAGGCGACAACCACCCTCCTGACTCATGCTTTCGGAGAGTTCCTTAATGTGCCTTTGCCATTTCGGAGTGTCACCTATCTAACGTATATAACCGAATACAAGCCTGTCCATGGATAGACCGACAGTATAAGTTCGTAAAATCAAATTTGTCCAAATCCGCAAGTCCCCATACTAGCCGACTCGCCAAGAAATCAGCAAAAATGGAGACGAAGTTGTTTCCTTACGATTTTGACGTCATTACCATCTGCTCTTACTTGAGTGCTTTTGAGCGAAACCTACTCTACTATTGGTCTGTTGTGGTGACCGTTGCCTAAAATAGTGCTAACGTGACATCACATAATCTACAACTCCGTCCGTCACTAGCGGGTGGTGCTAAAAGAGATAGGAGCATAAGTGTGCAGTGAATTACTGAGTGGAATTTGCATGTGACATTTTTTTCAAATGGTGCATAACTTTTTCGTAATCCAACTCCCTCAACAGAAACGAAAACTTGTCCAAAATGTATCTGGGCTTATATTCGGTAATATACGGTAAGGGCAATATTGGTAGACAATAGTAGCCACGGCAGCTGACGGATTAACATGCGGTGCATGCACATGGCCAAGTCAGCAAGGGGCCATTTGAGTTCACCAGGCACGGGACAGCCTATTATCAAACGCTACATGATGATGACGAACCGCAGCGTTAGGCATCAGTTGCTTCTCCAATTAGACGAGGGCAACACTGCGCAGGTACACCTGATCAAAAATGATCAGTCTCAAAGTGTCTTCGGCGCGTAGCGGACACAGGAACGGTGTCCACTTCGCATCGTTGTAAACCTTTCCATTGACGTGTGAAAAATTTCAGTTAGAAAAACGAGGGGAGATTCGAAATCATTTACGTGATAGTAAGGCAGTTCGTGTATCGTCGGTAAACGAATACTTAGAATCGCAAAAGCGACAGACACTTGTCGCTGTTATCGGAAAGTATGTTTATAAAACAGGTGCTTGTAACATGTTTTTATAGCTGGATGCTGTGACGTAAAAACAAATTGATTACTAAGCGATCATATACGTAATACTTGCAGTTAGTTGTTGCTGGCCGTGCGACGAACTGATTAAGATAAAAGAATTCAACTTAGCCAAAGACATTTGCCGATTGCAGCCTTCTTATAAAAGCGCACAAAACCCTGTGGTGCACTGGTTGAAGTATGCTTTATTTAACTTCACCCTGTTATTTAATCAACGTAAAGACATGTGAAAGATTGAGATATGGCAAGAGGTGACATCAAGCTAACAAGAAAAACGAATTTTACGGGGAAGCAGTAACAGGAAATTATGGTGATCATGATGACGGCATTGATAGATGTGAATGAGCAATGTCACCTACAATGTTAATAATAAAAATACTGGTTGGAAAAGACAATGGATGAGAGTCCATACTATATTGTCGAAACCTGTTTCTTTTGGTGGCATAAAAGACAAAATCTGAAGGAATCAGTGATTTATTCAACGAGACAATAAACAATCAACACACTTCAGATGTATGTGTGTATATAATCTCAGCTGTCTAGCAACTAGACATGGAGCCAATAAAAACCATGGAGATCAGTGGATAAGAGGAAGTCATCGCGTTAGAATCATCGTGACATAGTAGTTGAAGGTGAGCAATACACTTCAGCTATTATGCCGCATGAAGAAAGGACCATTTTGACAAGGTATCAGCGTCACGCCGGTACACCGCATCAACGCTTCGACTCCATGGGCTGGCTCGGATGCTGTGAAATCGTGCACACATACGCAGACTCAAATCGGCATCCCGTGCATTACAAGCCAAGTATCTGAACTACTCGGCCACCAACCGGTAGTGTCACAAGTCGGGATGCCCGTGATGGATATAGTACCGAGTAATTTCACTCTTGGTTTGCGAGTGGCTGCAGACGGCTGTTATATTTGCGCCTACTCAGTGACGAAGGCAAATGTGGTTCGATAGTAAACTACGTTTAGAAATAAAGGAGCGTGAAATTGAAGAGCGAATTACAAACGAAAAGCTAGGGAAAACAACCGAGATCGATGAAAGCAAAAGAAAGCTCAGATAACAAAGAAGGACAAACTGAATTGATACCAATGAATAAAGACACGAAACCAACGGCTGGAGCATCGGAGCAGCTGCGGACTCGTGGGTGATAAGGTGTTGGTGACAAATGTGCCTCTGTATAGGCTAAGGTAGCAGCCAAATATTAGCCTTATTACAAACAACGGTAGGACCATTGAGCTTTGGAGTATCTGTTGTGCCGCTGGATTGCAAAACACAACCTCAATTGTGGCCTTGGTTCACTCTGAAGTAGACCACGGTCATTCAGATCACTGGGACCGTATCCGAAGTGATTCGGCGTTGCACTCTTCCCCAAATCCGACACTCCACGACCGGTCTCGTCCTCGTTTGAATTTATCAGGCAGAGATAGTCTGAGCTGTGTTTGGTTCCACTCTTAGCTCAGACTATTTCAACCTGAAGAGTCCAAACACAGAGGAAACCGGTCGTACAGTGCAATACTGCGAAAAAGCAGCACCGAAACCCTCCAATGTTTGTAGATAGGCAAACGGGATGAGAAATCCTGTCTTAACATGCAGCAAATAACAAGAAAATTGTTGGACTTTGAAGCATTTCAAGTTTAGAAGGTCCAATATTATATATGAATAGAGTTACTAGTGACGAGTACAGCGGGTTGGAAACTATGCAGAAGCATTGCTATGATAGTTAACTGCACAATATTACCGAGAAGAGGGTGAGGCATCTGGAGTATTTTCGGGATGAATTTCTTGCGACTTCACCCGAGTTGATGGCTGATTGGAAGTCGAGCAACTGCCTGGAAAGTAACGAGACGAAATACGAATAGTAAGTCTAGAAACACTGGACAAAATAAAAGTAAAAAAAGCAGTGATGGTGTCATTGGTAAAATATCGTGCACATAAACGTTCGTGAGCTGGGTATTCATGCAACCATGATGCGACGGTGGTTGATGTGACACTGATGAAAAGTAGAAAGTGTTAACGAACAGCACAGTAACCTACTCAGAAGGCCAACATGTGTGGAGAAGGCTGCGAGAACTTGGATGGACTTACTTCAGCTCTTTTCGAGGGTCTATTTCTTGCACATGATATGCATAACTTGTTAGCAAAACAGTGAGATCAAGAGACTGATTTGACCGACTGGAACCGCTTTGTTATAGTCCGAATTTTTAACGGGTATGTACGTTCGGAATATAGCAAGCAAAGAATCAGACTGATCATAATTGCCCCTAAGTTGCCTACCTTCATCGTATTTATAGACTGACTGGACCCGTGAAAATTAATCTCGCAAAGTACCCCAGGCTCCGTCGAATTACAGACTGCGCTGATCACATCCTCATTTTACGCCAGTTATTAGAGCCACACTACGTATGTCACTGACATGTCCTAGCCATGTTCCTCGATATCAAGGGTGCTTCGGTTCGGTGAATCGAGGTGCCCTTTAATACTGCCTGATCAGGAAGTGTGCCCGAGAAATACTTAAACATCAGGGCGCCTTACGAGAGTATGTCGGGCAGGTTGAAGACACAAGGCAAACTGTCGCCGCCCTTTAATATCTCCAACGCTGTGAGACAAGGATATCCGCTGTCAACCTACCTTAATAAGTTCGCCATTGACGAAATGATGTAAACTGCATTAACCAGGAACATGTTAGACAAGGTGTTGTTTTTGGGTGGTCTACATCTCAACCTCTAATAAACCGACAATGCTGCCCTACTCTGTGACCTTACAAACTTACCAATCAGTGAAGGACAGGCCAGTACAAACTGCCAACAGTTTAGGGCTGCTTTGCATATTCCAAATGAAAACATTTCTTCTAAGAATGGCAGATACCCACTCCCGAGCTGAGCATTTTAATGATAAGCGCCTGTGAAGTAAGGATGAGATTACGAGCCGTATAGCAAAAATTCGAAGTGCTTTTGCTAATCTCCGCCACCAATGGCACCGGCGTGACATCAGTCATACCCTGAAGCGCAGAGTTGCAACTCAGGCGTGCGTTCAACTCTCATGTAGGGTAGCGAAACCTGACCCATCCGATCGGCAGACATTCGACCACCAGTGCCTTTACAGTTTGGTCGATATCAGGTGGGAACACCTTGTGAGCAATGAGCGTGCTCGGCGTAGTGTATTGAGTGTGAGTGAAACGCTCAGCAGTGTTATTTCACGCACCAGGGTTCGATGGCTGGGCCACGTGTTGCGCATGCCAGCAGACCGACTTCCGCGATGGCGCAGTATTGCGGGATAGTCGGAGACAAACCAGAGTATGAGGAATCAAGGCCTTGGAAATCAGGCTTAATTCTTCTGAATGGAGACGAGTGTGACGGGTAGGAGGTGTAGTGGCGATGAGAAATATGCAAACAGGATAAGTGTCAAATTGCACCCAACTTATGTTTGGAAGGAATCATGTAGTAAACAACGGTTGGCTTGTAGCCGAAGCGGGGGTATGGGAACAGCGTTATTGAAGATTTGTGACTTGTGTTTAGTAACGTTTCACATAACACAACATAACATAATATGGACCTACGCAGTGTTGAAGTGCCTCAAATTCGCCCCTCGGAAACAACAGTTCTGTAAAATTTGGTTGAGAATAGTTTAAAAGCATGTCATCGCAGACCTGGTCCTCCTCTCCGAGGATGATGGTTCCTTCCAGACCGACGTTAATCTTATTAGCGTGCTCGAGCAGATGTTCGCCCATGGGTGCCGGTTAGCGGATTGATATGGTCTCCACTCTTCCGTTCAAGAATCGAACATGTGCGTATTTAGGGTTGTACTCTTTCGTTTTGGCAAGTGAGCCTATGGTGCGCTGAGGCTTGTGGTGGCTAGATCCTGACAGATGGTCTACCCACTGCTGCCACTGTTGTGACATGGGCCCATGTCATGGACGCCTTCCAGTGGCGACCCCTGGGTGGGAGTTGGATTACGCCCTTCTCCTAGCTAAGAGCCAGGACACCACTCGGCATGAGTCAGTGAAATGACCATGTGCTAGACCCGCTGCCTTTCGGGTATACATCTAATCAAAGGCGTCGGCTGAGGACCCGAGTCGTTCTCCTGTCAGGTGTGAGCGCCCTACCAGTATCTTAGTCTAAACCCCATCATCCTCGGAGGTTATGAAGTGGTTGATGGTTTTCTTCCTGTAAAACTTGGGAGACAACAGGTCCACGGATTGTAAGCTCACCACCCGATAGGCGTAGAGCACGAGCGTCACACATTGTCTCTGACGATGTGAGGGCACCTCCGGATGCTCAATGGCTGGCTACTACCCTCCTTAAGCCAGGCAGCCCATGTACAAATTGGTGCAAACCCGCCGAAACCCACCTGCGTCTGGCCGTGGTCGTAGGTGTATCCTACTACGGTCGCAAAACACATATGAATTGTTCCAGATCTCCAAAGCTGCGTGTGACGGACCTCAAGTAGATCGCAATCTGTCTCTGCAACCACATCCCGAGCTGGATCTGCTCCCCACTGCTCTGTGGGTCAGGCTATTGAACCAAAGGATCCGGGTGGAGTCCCTCAAGCAAACCTCCGAAGCACAACCGCCACCTCGCGTGCGATTGCCAACCAATGCAATCGTATGCCTGCGCGCAAAGCACTCAACATCGGGTGTTGGAACGTGCGCACACTACTGAACCGGAACTCGATTGAGCACCCCGAGAGACGCACTGCACTCGTCGCGATGGAGCTGGCGTGCTACAACATTGGCCTTCATTTCTCTTGAACAAGTCATCTTTGGCTTACCCTCCTTTTCTTCCATTCACACACCCCGGCGTGCAAACAACACACAAGTCGATGTGGTGACATGCGCAACAAGTGGCTCAGCCAACGGAGCATGTTGCGTGATATAACGGTGCGGAGAGGTTCACTCGCACTTCCTGCATCAAATCCGCGGCATCGAACACGCTCATTGCTCACGCTGTGTCGCCACCAGACATGAGTTAAGTTGCGAAGGCAGCGGCGATTAAAGGTAGCCATGTTCGTTATATCTATCGACCTGATGGGCCAGGTTACGCAAGTCAAGAATGTGCTATATGCACCATTGAAGGGTGAATATTTAGCTCTAACGCACACGCCACGGAATGACATAAATAATAAAAAGGAATAATACATGCAGATAAATAATATAACAAAGATAATAACGTGTCAACTGTACGCCGTAACGGCGCTTCGCTGTCGCGCGACCACTAACAGTCGCGCGCGGGCTGAGTATACCGCGAGGACACCCACACCTAAGCGGATGGGAACCGGGGACCTTATGGTTGCAAACCAGGTGCGCAGACCACTCGGCCACCACGATCATTAGAAAAGATTTGGCGGGGTAAATATCTCTAGAGTAATCTACTACACAGTTTCCTAACGACTGAATTTTTATCCTTTAAAAAAGTGATAAGGAAATATCTGGGTGTGACGCTGAGCAGCTGGCTTATGTGGTCTATTTACATGAACGAAATATCCACTAAGGTTAGGAGACTCATTCTATTCTACAAGTCTCAGGTATTCTTCCCTACCCCGGTTTTTATAAAGAGTTTTAGCACTCAAGTCAAAATGTGCTTTATGCACCCTCAAATGGTGAATATTCAGCTTTAAGACACATCGCAGAACGGAATAAATAATGAAAAGGAACAGTACACGCTGATAAACATAAACCACGACCAGTAAAAGATTTGGCAGAGCAAATATCGCCAGAGTAATCCACTAAACAGTTCTTTAATGACTGAATTTTTATCGTTCAAAAAATGTGACAAACAAGGGACTCATCACCATCACCATACACGTTAGCTAGAGGTGGGGAACACCTCAGCTACTGTGCCGCAATACAGAAAAAAGGAGAGAAAAAAAGCAACTGGTGCAAGCTGGCTGAGCTACCGGTACCGGATGGGCATCGTTCCGGTAAGCTACCAGCCGGCTGCTGTGTACCAAAAAAAATTACTACGCAAAATTATACAAGGCTAAATAATGAGATCGTGGTTGGAGGGGGAGGCTAAGAGGGATGGGGTGGGGTGCGGTCGTAGATAGTTTTGTAAATCTGTCTGGTGGAGGAGATTGACAAGCATTTGGACAAAGCTCTGTGGAGGGAATAGCCAACATCTGCGTATTTCAAATGCAAACTCGTTACACTAGTTGACAAAGCTGGCTACAATGATGTTGACAATTTCCATCCTTGAAATTCCACTACACAAGGACAGATACTTCATTGATCTAGCAATCACTTTAATGTCCTTACTCGGGAGACCAGGAAAGATAACTAGAGAGCAACAGGTTCAGTAGAGTAACACACATGCAGTGATAAAACGCTGGATAAAAATCGGGGTAGGGAAGAAGACCTGAGGCGTGTAACATAGAATGAGTCTTCGTTCAGGTAAAGAGACTAAGTAAGCCCACTGCTCAACGTCACTCCCATATATCTTACAAAAGTGGAAAAGGTTAAACACTCACCGTTAATGCAAAGTTAGGACAATGCGTCAGGATTTCCTGTAGCGATTTACCTTGAACTGCGTAAAAAAACATCCTTGCATTTTGAGGTATCTAACGGTATGCGACGGGGTTTGAATCAAGTTGTGAGGTTGTTTGAGGGTCTGTAGTTTGGCCGATGACAATGCTAGGATGATAGACGCCAAGGATTACATCGACCGCATACTTCAGCAGCATGGCTTCTTCAGGGACGAGGATTGAGGTAACGTAGGTGGAAAACAAGAATGGGGACAAAATGGCTCCCTGAAGAACACCAGCATTCGTGGTGATTGAAGAATCTTTTCCCCATTAACCTGGTAAACTGTGTAGGCCCGGTAAAGTAATCTCTCAA